ATGAAAGTGGTTTATTAGGTAGATATAAAGAGAAAGGGAGAGAGGGACATGATGAGGGAAAGAGAGAGAGAGGGAAAGAGAGAAAAGGGGGCGCCCTGACAGAGAAAGTGGAGAAGGCCAAGAGAGAAGAGGCCAGAAGCAAGAGAGACCAAGAGATAAAGGACCAAGAGAGGGACCACATGGCCGGATGATCCTTTTAAGGGGCAAGGTAACCATGCCTTCCAGGTGTGGCCACCTGGCCGGGGACACATGATGACATCATAGGTTACTAGGCAACCCAGAAGCAGGTTCGGTTCCAAAATTCTAACAGTAAGTACACTTAGATGCTGAGATGCCTCTCCAGCCCCGAGTCTTTCTTTGTTACACTGAAAGAATCAGACTAACTTTGTAACCTCTGTCTCTTTTAATTGCCCTATAACTTATATTTCCAAGTTTTAGGTCCATGTTAATTAAAGCCTCTTAGTGCTTCTCCAGAGAGCAGAGGAATATAAAAGTTCCTGACATTAGCCATCTGCGAGGGCAGAGATAAGGAAGAGAACAAGCAGAACAACTCTACTAAGTGGAGAGAAAATCACCAGCCGGCGCCTGTGAGATAAACTTTGATTGGAAACTGGGGCAAGTGGCACCAATCCTTCTCCTGAATAGCTCCTGACCTTTGATCCAAAGCCTGTAGCCCCCACTCCTCAGAACAGACACGGGATGAGTTAATCACTCTCCCACCTTTAACTGTGGCTATATCTCATATGGCAGGAAATTCCAAACTGACTTGAAGATCAGATATTTACAACAGGGCTGACCAGACCTAAGGGTGCCCAGAACCAACCAATTATTTTAAAAGTTAAATACCTCATCCAATCCTGAATTGCCAAGATGGTAACCTCTAAAATTTCCTGCTCTTTGTCCTTTAAAAACCCAAGGCCTTTGTCTCCCAGTGCCACTCCTTGCTGACCAGCAGGGCTGACCCCATTGCGCAATGGTCAAAATAAACCTCTTGTGATTTTGCATCGAGACCCGTCTCCTGAGTTCTCTTCATCCCTTCTCGAAATTGGGCTCATGCTGGCACAGGCTAGCTGGCCTGTGAGCTTCCTGGCAATCCTGTTTCTGCCTCCCTTCTAGCTGTAGGAGGGCTGGCTATAGAGGTGTGCACCACCTCATCTAGCCTTTTGAATAAAGGGCCTGGCTGTCAGGCTCTGGGATTGAGCAGCACGGGATTATCAGCTATCTCAGCTGCCCAAGTCTATTACTTCTGCACTTGTCTATAAATCTGAAATTACTAGGAAATGAACCCTGGCTCTAAGTAAGTCACCACCAGAGTCAGATCCCCAGCTCATATTCGGAACGCTTAAATAGTGAGGACAGAAAGACAGGGAGGGACACACGGGAGGAGAGGGAAGAGAGTGAGAAGAGAAGAAGCTTTCTGTGGCAACTCCAGGGATTCCTTGAGGAATCCCATCCTATCTTTCATGACCTCCCACGAGCCATCTGCCCCCAGGAACTAGCTCAAAGAGCTGATATACTTCGGTTCTATATCTTCACATTTTTAAGAAGACAGCAAAGGGAGATAAAGACTCTTTTATTTTCTTTTCAGCCTTCTCCAACGTTCTGCCATTAACACACCTGCCAGGAGCCAGGGCTGGAACACGACATAGGGCGGGGACAGAGTGCAGCACCCCCACAAGGAGGGGGATGCCTGCAGGTGACCGAGTCTCCACAAGAGGCGGCGTCACAGTAGGGGTCGGGACCTCCATAAAGAGCTGAGCCATCGTAGGAGGCACTGCCAAAGAGGGCCGGGTTGACACCAGAGGTTATGCTGGCACTAGGTGTGTAGCCGCTAGAGCAGTTGTAGCCCACCAGGCGGGGCGTGCTGGGGAAAGTCTTGCGCATGCGCATGCACTTGTCCTTGTCAATGCTTAAGGTGTTGGCCTTGATGGCCAGCTCGTGCTCCAACCGACACTTGGTCATCACCAGCAGCTGCAGCGAGTCTTGTGTCTCCTGAAGCCTCAGCTTGAGCGTCTGTAGGGTGTCGTCTATGGTGAAGACTTCATTCACGAGCCTGCGGGGGGGGGGGGGGCAGGGAGAAGACTCCATGACTCGTCCCTTTCAGCACAGCCACCCTTGTGTGGCAGGGAAGGTGACTCAGGATGGCCACTGCAGTGCAGTCCTCAGCCCTAGAGGGGAGGACGCGCAGTGGAGCACTCTGAGAGGGCCACCAAGGCTGACAAAGCATGAAGAAGGAGACATAGTACAGAGGGCAGAATCTGTCAATGAGTTAACCATGGGCATGCCCCCAGGGCCAGCAGTCCAGCCCCTGCTTCTCCAACCTGACCTGAAGACACCAACCAAGCAACACTGTCCGTGCAAAGGAATGATTCATTCTGTGCTTTGTTTGTCTCTAAGATGGTGTCACTATGTGACATTGTCTCCAACTCTAGTGCTTAAGCTGTCCTCCCGCCTAAGCCACTCAAGCATACCTGGCCTCTTATGTGACTTGGTTTGTGTTGCCTTTGTCCTTTCTGGTAAACTCCCTCCACCCCCACAACACACATCCCATTTTCTCCTTCCCTTTCCTCTTTCCTTTCCTGGTTTCACATTTCCTTCATCTCCCAATAGTTTCCATTATAGGCACGAGTCCTGCTGTCAGGTGTATTTTCAATGAGGGTTGGGTAGTTGGAAAACACAGTCTCTGCAGGTGACACATGGACCAGACTCATTTGCATATGAGAACAGGTACCTGGTGAATTTTGCTCAGGTCTCTTTTTCCAGCTGGAACACACATCCATGCTGCTTTAGTTCCTGTTGGCTCATAGGTTCACACCTCAGAGAATTATGGCTTCTAACCAGTGGAAGCCACCTGTCCTGGAAGAGAGCCCCTCCCAGCAGCCCACAGCCACTGGACAACTGAGTCAGAGGAACTGAAAACTGCAGCACAATGGAAAGGCACACACTGAGCCTCGGAGCTGTGGTGGAGGCGCATCTGAGGCCAGCCCCATACTGTCTCACACCTTACCCCATTTCCCTAGGCTCTGCGCCTCAGAGCTTTCCAGAAGTACTGGAAGGGGCTATGGGGGGGGCAACAAGAGTAAACATGTGGGGACCAAGGAGAGAAGGTTCTACAACAGCACTGTCAAGAGGGACTCTGAGTTGCCCATGCTGTCCACTCATGACAAGCCCAGGAGCCACATAAGGGCTGAAGAGCACTTGAAATGTGGCCTCTTGATTCAGAAGCTTATAAAAAACAAAACTAAAACCCTCCATTCATTCAATTTATAGTCTACCTTTTACATTTTAAAAACTTTTAGAGACAATGTCTCATGTGGCCTAGGCTGGCCTCAAACTCTGTGTAGCCAAGGATAACCCTGAGATGAGCCAGGACACAAATGCAAGCAGGTGCCTCTCCCATCACATCCTGAAGTGAGAGATGCTGAAGGCACAGAGGGGCCAGGACTGTGTCTATCCTTGCTGCTGTGGTCTCCTTGGCCTTTCAGAGGAAACGAGAGTTTCCCGAGCAGTGAGGTAGTGCTAAAGGGTGGGGGAGCTTCAGAGAGTGACACAGTAGGAGTGGAACCTGGACCTCTACACCTCCATCCAGCTCACAGCTGAGGCGTGGACTGGGTGTCCTAACTCTGGCCCTCAGATGCCCTAAAGAAACACCGTGCCTCTTATTTTGGCTACTATCCAATTGAAACTACAGTTCCCAAGAAATTGAAGTTCTCTCCCCTCCCCTCCCCCAGGGGTCTAATGATGAGGAAAGGAAAGGGATGAAGACAGAGGGGCTCAGGAGCTTTTCATGAAGTTCTAATAATCTACCAGACCGCCTTTCGGGAGAGATAGGAGCTTAGACAATGATGGATGAAGCCACACTGTAATCAGGGCTGCTATGCGTGTTCTCCTCTGTTTAAACCTAAACCTCATGTCAGGACCCTGAAGATGAACTAGGGGAGTGGTGAAAATGGGCCTCTGGAAGTGTTCCCTTCGCCAGCGTGGCTCCACTGAATGAATCACCTGCCTGTGCTTTTCAGTTATTATCCAACTGACCTGTTAAGATGAGTAGGCAAAGCTGCTTGTTAGACCGCCAGGGAGAGCCCAGGCTCGCATACCTGCAATGTCAGCAACGGTGAGGCTTCCAGCGCCCACCCTTCAGTCCTCCCTGCCCGCACTCACTTGAACTGTGCTATGTCCCTGCACAGCTCCACATTGGGTCGTCGGGTCCTGCATGCCAGCCTGGTCTGGGCCACCTTCATTGGACATTCCTTGGCCATGATGGCTCTCTCCAGCAACATGATGGTATTCTCTGCCTGGAAGATCTCCTGCAGTATCTGTGGGCATGAGGAGACTGTCACAGCCTGCTAGAACCCTCTCACTTCCTTCTCTTGGGGAAGGCGGGGAACTGAAGTCACCTCAGGGACCCCTGGCCTGGCTGCTCCCCAACCCTGACCACCTTTGGGGCAGGGAGTGTGATTTGGGCCGTCAGAAACAGCCACTACTACTGCTTGTCACCATAGCACTGAGCGCTGGGGCTGGGTCAGCACCAAGACTGATTGTGGTTTTGAGACTCTACTGGAGTAAACCGATTATTGTTCAGTAGGAAGAGAGGGAGAAAGGGAGGGAGGGAGGGAGAGAGGAAGAAAAGAAAAAGGAAAAAGGAAAGGAAAGGAAGAAAGGAGAGAAGAGAGAAGGAAGAAAAGATGTGTGGGGGGTATTTTCTAAAACATATTCACAGAAGTAACTTTCCCCATATCATGTTGCCATTGTTCCATTCTATAAAAATGTGAATCCCAGCAGAGGCAGGAGGAAGCCTGCTGGGATGAGAAATGTCATGTCTTGATGTTGGTAGAGGTACGAAACTGGAAAAACCTTATTAAAATTCATTCGGCTGTATGCACTTTTTTTTTTTTATCAGACTTGTTACACCTCAGTAGAAAAGTAGATAAAAGACTCCTTCAGTGTGGACCTGGTGCCTCTTTTGTGAGGCAGCAGCTGAGGAGACTCCGGCGCTCGCCATGGCCAATGAGAAGCCCGAGGAAGGAGTCAAGACTGAGAACAAGGATCATATGAATTTGAAGGTGGCGGGGCAGGATGGTTCTGTGGTGCAGTTTAAGATTAAGAGGCATACACCACTTAGTAAACTAATGAAAGCCTATTGTGAACGACCGGGTTTGTCAATGAGGCAGATCAGATTCCGGTTTGATGGGCAACCAATCAATGAAACAGACACACCTGCACAGTTGGAGATGGAGGATGAAGACACGATTGATGTGTTCCAGCAGCAGACAGGAGGTGTCTACTGAAAAGGGGACCTGCTACTTACTCCAGAATTTTGTTATAGACCAAGAACACATTCTCAGTTAGAAAACGGCGATTTGGTTCCACCACATCCTGACTACTACAGCATAGTTTTCTCTATTCTCTCATTTCCCTGTTCCCATTTCCTTATTGCACATAAAGTAACTGGTGTATGTGCACAAGCATATTGCTTTTCTTTCCTTTTTCTTTTTTAAACTAAATGGCCAATGTTCTGTTTTGGTTGACACCGATGGAGATGGTTGGGGAAAGTACTGGTTCTGTGAAAATCTCCCCTTTTCTCCATTAGCGGCGTGCTCATTCAGCTCTTATCTTTATATTCCAGTAAGTTACTTTTCTCTCCTTGTTTTAACAAAAGAACCCAACAACATAAAATCCTTGCATACCTTGTTCGATTGGAGAATTTTAATGTTTTTCATTTATCATTGTAAAACCAAGGACAATTTTATAACTTTTTTGTATGTAGCTGTTACATGTAAGGCAATCTGTCTTTAAGTAGGGGGTAAATTACTTTTGAACAAAATGATCCTAGATAGTTTTCCCTTCAAGTCAAGCATCTTGTTGTTTAAATAAACTTCTTGTTTAAAATGAAAAAAAGAAAAGTAGATAAAAGTCTCCAATATAGCTTGGTGGCAAAGTGCTTACCCAGCATGCATGAGGAAATTAGAAGGTCACAAAGGAAAAGATCGGAGAAGAGTTGATGTCTGTACTGGGTATATGGAATTCATTATGTGTCCTTCTATACTATGTGTTTGAAACTTTCCATAATAAAAATGAAAGAACATCAACTGGATATGTATGTGTAACGCCCTGGCTTCGATCCCCAGTAGCAGCATACTACTCCTGTAGCCCCAACACTCAGGAGATGAAGGCAAGAGGATCACAAATTCAAGGAGATCCTTAACTACAAAGGAAATTTGAGAGACCAGCCTGAGCTACATGAGATCTTTATCCACATGTAAAAACGATAGAAGATGACGAGTTTGTCAGGAAAGAGCAGGCCCACTAGGCTGCTGATTTCCTGAGGGGTTACATGGCCATCCCTAATCTTGCCTAGGGCTGAGTGGATGCTAATAACCTAATCTCTTCACTGACAGAAATGACCACTCCGCACCCTCAGCCAGCAGTCCTAGGTGTAAGAGCAGCTGTTTCCCATGGCACTCTCCCGGGAGAATGCTCTTTGTAGATGTGTTGTTCTGACTCTCATTCTGGCCCCTGAATCACCCAGTGCCAAAGATGCACGCATTCTGTGCCCACCTAAAAGTAATGCTCTCCACAGGCTTCATTGCCAGGGTGTTCTGCAATTATTGCGTCCCCACAAAGAGTTCAGTTCCATATGGCCAGACATTCCATAATGCTTAAAGAAAAAAACAATACAGGATCTCCACTAGGATATTGTTTAATCTAGCTTTACTGAAAACAGATGTCGGCTTTGTGGGTGGCCATCTTGAAATCAGACCCAACTCAGAAAGGGCTGTTCACTACCCCTACTCTGCCAGTCCAATAGTGAGGAGCAATAAAGCCAAGGAAACCACTAAGAAAACATTGCTGGGAAAGTCCCATCATTCAAACCAGGGGGACAAGAAAGACATGGATGGTGGGAGCCAACTCCATCAGAAGAGTAGCCAGCTACACTACAGGACACCTGGCTGCCTCTAATTCCAGGTACACAATAGCATGTGTCCTGTAACAGAGTGAATGTTGCCACTCTCCAAAGTACATATACACAAAGTACATGGGAACCCTCACTCCTGTGCCAGCTGTTGAAAGTGGAACATTTGGAAATTGAATAGGTCATGAGGTGGGGACCTTTCTGTCATGCAAGAAACAACAAGAAATCAACAATTTTCTAATCCACCAGACCCCTGCCAAGCTGTCTGTCTGATACTGGAGACTCACAGCCTCACAAACTGCTTTCATTATTTTGGGTGTGATTTTATTTGTCTTGTTTTGAAATAAGGTCTTACTATGTATCCGGGACTAGGCTGGAGCTTGCAACCCTCCTGTTTTAGCCTCCCAAAGGCTAAATACACGCATCTGAATAAAATTCACTATAAAGTATCCAGTCTATGCTACTTGTAACAACCCGAACAATGCAAGGCATGCCCCCGTCAGTCACGGCTCAGCATGCTCTGACATTCCAAAGGGGCATCTTCTGACCTTGAGGTATACCAGGGTGCCCGATTTGCTAAATTTGAGAAGCCTGCTCGGTACACAGACTAAATGAATGACAGTGAGCCTGCAAGTCTATTTGTTGCCAATGATTTCCTCTTCTTTATTTTTATTTCAAGCAAGGTCTTAGTATATAGCTAAGGTAAAGCTCTAATTCACAGTCCTCCTGTGTAGCCTCTGGAGTGCTAGATTACAGACATATGCATGCCTTGTTGCAGCTCTTTCTTACTGATTCTTCTTTTTTTTTTTTTTAAGGCATCCTTACTATAGCCCAGGCTGCCCTCAAGTTTAACACAATCCTCCTGCCTCAGCCTTTGGAGAGGTAGCATGTGCTAGTCAGCTAGCCCATAAACTGTCCCTTCTAAATAAAATTTTAGCTTAAAGATTGAGGTGACTCTATTTTTTAAACGAGGTTCAGTAGTAAACGGTGCAGGTAGGGGTGGCAAAACTGGCAAAGCGGCCAGGTGGTCAAGGTGAACGAATCTGGTACTCCTTTTCATGTGAACATAAATAAGGCAGGGATGGAGCTCAGGTGGAGTTGCATCAGTGGTGACACAGGGGACAAGGGTGTGAGGACAGGAGGGTGTGTGGAATATCTCTCTCCTGCCTCCTGTCCTTCCTCAGGCCCTAGGCTGGAGTCCATGGTTGCTTATTTCTTCACACACCTTTGCCCCTCCTGGCTGCCTGTCTTGATCAGACCTGTCTGTGGGTTTTCCACAACATTGGGGTTTTCCAGAACCTTCTGCTACAGCCCACTAATGATTCATACCCAGGGCACATCTGCCCAGGCCCAGGTGGGTGTACCTGCTGCCAAAAAATGTTCCCAACAGCCTCTTATCTAGCCTGTCATAAATTCCACTGAGACACAACCCCTGCTCAAACTCTGGAAGTCTGTGTGTCTCGAGAGAATCCCAAGTGGGAAATCTAGCCTCCCAAAGTCTGTGGACTGTGATCCCCATAGGCTGGAAGACAAACAACTGTGTGGGCTGGCCAGGGTCTGGGCCTTCCTGCTGAAGAGGAACCATCGGGGCCCATCACCCAGAGTGCAATGAGAGTGTCCTGATGTGGCCTTCCTGTTGAGCAAAGTACTTCTGTCAGGTTTTTGTCACAACACTGAGAAAGGTAACACTGAGACTGACAGAGCCTAGTCCCCCTTTGCCATCATTACTAACACAAGCACCATGTGCGTTTATAATGGCACATTAAATGAAGAGCCATACAGCGATTATCAAAACAGGGGGCCTGGAGTACAGAGCGCTGCCAGACATGCAACAAAGTGAGTGAAGACACAAGCTCTGAGTTTCACATGACCCACGTGTGCCAAGAGCTCCCACAAACGAGAATTCAGCCTCTTTATCAGGGCCAAAAGGAAAAGCAAAGCTCCCAGTCCCAAGAGTTTCTTCTAGCTGGGTGTTGTGGCACATTCCTGCCTTCCCGGCATTTGGGAGGCGGAGGTGAGAGGGCCAGTTCAAGTTCATTTTCAGTGAGGCCAACCTGGGCTACCTGAGACCCTGACTCAAAAATGAATGAATGAATGAATGAATGAATGAATGAATGAATGAATGAATGGTTTGTGGGTAAAAGCACTTGCTGTCCTGCTGATGGCTTCAGCGCCAGCCCGGAGCCCTTATGGTGGACAGAGGGAGCTCACTCAAGTTTTCTGATCTCTACACGTGTGCTGTGGCATGTGCACACACACACACACACACACACACACACACACACACACACTAAATACGATGCACACAAATAAAAGTTTCCTTTTAAAAAGAACCTCTAGTTCAAGGGCAAAACACTACACAGTAAAAGCCAGCCCTGGATTTCCTGACTGACACTGGGCTATGTTCTGGAGATTCTTCAGAACAGCTCTTCAGTTCTGCCCCACGGAGGCGCTGACCCTGTGGGGGGGGGGGGGAAGACTTCACAGAATCCTCACTGACTCACAGAAACCTTCCAGTGATTTAGCAGGGCAGAACCATAGGGGAAGAGTGCGGGGTGACAGAGAAGCAGGTAAACTGTAGGGGTTCTCAGCAGGAAGAGGCTGTGTTAATTGCTTCGCTGCAGGTGAGGATGTGGTGTTAAACCCAGGCTGGCTGTCCCAGCAAGGAGAAGCAGTGTAGAGCCAGTCACATTTGTTTAAGATTTATGCATGGGGACCCACTGGTGCCTCCCACAAGGGACCTGGCACAGGGGAGCTGCCACCCACACCCCAGGACTTGCAGGTTCCTGGGAGAAATTTACAGACAACTTTGAAACTGAACCCTCAGCACCAGAGCTGTGATTCTTTCTCCATGGCTCAGACTCTGCAAACACCCCTGGCAGGAAGTCGGGAGCCCAAAAGGCCTCTAGAGAGGAGAGCCTGGGCAAGTTGGCACATGCCACTGAGTGCAGAGCCTCAAGTTCCAGTTACTTACTAAACGCATGTAACACACGCACACCTTCACGCAGAGTGTCTCAAATACTCTACCTCCTTTCAAGGCACTCCCACCTGCCCCGAGTTCTGATATCCCCACATTTATATCAAGTTCAGCAGTTTGCAGGGTGTGGTGGCACACATCTGCCACCCCAGCACTCCACAGAGCACAAGTCCAGGTGCTGGACACTAAGCTCTGAGAGCTGTTCTCAACAAGAACAAAGAAGAAAACTCAAGCCTGCAGGAGCTGACCTTGAGGGATTCCCTCTCACTGCATTCACCTCCTCAGGCTGTGGCTAAAACACCCAGCCGGCTTCTTCTGCACCCCATTAAACAATGCTTTAAAACTTTAGCAAATGTGAGTCCTTTTCTTTGAGACACAGACATGAGGCCTACTCAAGTTTACAGCCACACTCAGAGCAGAGGTGGATGCCCTCTTGAAAGAGCACTTTTCTCTCCACCCCCATTCCCAACCCCCACCCTCGGCCTGGTGATACTACACACTCACATAAACACGAAAGCAAGCAAGCACAAACACATCGCTCGCGCG